ACAGTACGTTGTCCCATCCTTAGTCCTTTTACCAGCAAATCACTAACTTTTCCAAGAGGCTCAAACGATCCCGACCACCCGATTGCGAAGTCCCACAAGGGACCTGCCATCTTTTATATGGCAAAGGTTTCCGATGCCGTCAAGGCGTCTCCTTCTGGTCTCCAGTGGTTCAAAGTCGCAGAGGACGGTCTTGACAGCTCTGGAAACTGGGGTGTCGACCGCATGATCAACAGCGGCGGATGGACTGAGATGACGATGCCATCTTGTGTCGCTCCGGGCCAATATCTTCTCAGGGCTGAACTCATCGCCCTGCACAGCGCGAGCTCGGCCGGCGGCGCGCAATTCTACATGGGATGCGCACAGATCAATGTCTCGGGATCTGGATCGAAGATTGGCAATACCGTCAGCTTCCCTGGTGCCTACAGGGCCGACGATGCGGGTATCAAACTCAGCATCTACAACGCCCAGGGTCAGCCCAAGGGCAACGGAACGCCTTACAAGATTCCTGGTCCGGCGAAGCTCCAATGCTAGAGTAATAGCACGTCGACCCGGAAAAAACTGAATACCGTGGAGCCTACATTGCCACAAAGTTTTCTAGTTTGCTTATTTTACTCGGATGTAGTCTGCAGGCCTGTTCGATTTTTTTTCTTGTACGAGGTGATAGAAGACGCTGAGTGATTTGGATGGGCGTGCGCAGTCGGAGGTAATTCTGGGGCTTTGGGATTTTTTGCGAACATCTTTACGACCTTCTATGTACATACTGTAAAGGTAAAATTGGGGGACAAAACCCTGGTGGCCGAGTAGCAATATCCAATCAATTTGTCGCCGAGAACAAAAGTGGTATGCGATCGTGATGTGATGTGTCGTTACAGTCATGCGCTCGTGCCTGGGCTGTGCAAATGTACGGGCTGGTCGCACAACGGTAAACGGTGAGTGAGGCTTGCATGTACCCCGCTTTAGGCGCGTCCACGGAGGAAAATGCAAAAGCACAAAGAGATAGAGTTAATACTTTAGTAGAAGTTTAGAACAGTTATTATTGTGTCTGAGCCACGTGCATCTAAGAGTCTTGCGCTTTTCGCAACACTCCTAACAGCGTTGCGTCCGCGGTAGTCCACAAATGTAAGACAATGTATGATTGTGACGATGGTTTCTTGTGCCGCATTCCACCGGTAGATGGGCGGTTAGCGGACATGGTCGTGGTGGGCGCCGGCCCCACCACCCAACAAAATTCTGCGTTTGAAGAACCACTTAGCCAATGAATGAAGTCGTTCATTCGGACGTGTCTGGTGGTCTAGACAAGTCCAGGTAAGGTTGTATTTGCCCCGCTGTGGTCCCATTTGCCCAAGTAAGTCCCCAGTGACCAACTTCTGAACAAGGATATACATCTTACTGCTGAGCTATCTTCCATCAATCATCACAACCACAGGAGTCGTGCCAGAGTGGTTAATGGGTATGACTCGAATAAGCTGTTCGTTTAGAGCAGCTTGAATAGATATCATATGCCTTCGGGCGCGCAGGGTAAGAAATCACTTCTCCACAACTACACATCCACAAGACAAGCAACTAACAGCGTTTTCAGTTCGAATCCTGCCGGCTTCGCATTCTTTTTGCCCTTTTTAAGGTCCTGTAAAGTCTACTGAAGCGTAGTAATAGTTGTGGTGGAGAAAAAGGAGTGAATTGGTATTTTTTGCGCACAAAACCACCATTTCTTGACCGATTTTGAATCTGAGACATGCAAACACTTCTACAATACAAAAACATTCATTCCAGCACAAACAAATGCTCATACCTAGGTGTGGGGGTAAAACACAATTTTTGGTCATGTGAGACTTGGAGGGCTCACAGACCCCACTTCGGCCGACGCACGCAGTGCGCAACTTCAATCCTTCCACAGCGTTCAAACACAACCATCCATCTCTTCACACCGCTAATGCTCTAGGATTTTGATGCGCATCGTCTTCTCTTTGCCTCGGGTCATCGCATGCTGATTTCCAGACTCCGGGGGTGTAAGCCTGGTCCCTTGCGAGGGCGATCGGCATTCACATGCTACTCACGAGCTCCTCGCCGGGTGCGTCAACACAACAACGCATGCTTTGATCTTTATCGAAAGGGAGGACGACGCGACGCACGAGTGGTACAGTAGGCCTGCTTGGATCGCTCGCTGACGAAGTCATTGCAACACGCTTGAGGAGACATACGCGCGTGTTGAGCGAGGCAGGTGATCTTAGCACAGGCTTGCGACCTACGGGGAGAGTGCAACTGTCGCAAACTTTGCCAACGGCGAAGCCTCTTACCTACAGTAAGCTGCTCATAGCGGGGGCCTAAGACATAGAACACCCTGTACCCGACAGACTTACCACGACCCTCGTTTTGGGTGATGTACCGCCATTGCTAGTTACAGCCGGTGCATCATCAAACATCTCGGTAATTTTGTATGAAGGGAATATGATTGCATTATGCTAACAAGGCCAAGGGAATGAACAAGCAGACGACACCTACAGGAACCATCCCGAAGTCAGCTTCGTACAACTTTCTTGTGTGGGCAGATGCTACTTTGCTAGCGTACATAATTTCCGTACCTTGGCCGCGGCAACAGTTGAGTGAGGTATTCAGCCCTACATCTTCTCGCAACAGTAATCAATATATAGGTACTGAAGTGGCCCGGCAGAACAATCGACATGTTGTTTTTTGCAATTCCCCCAAGTCGCTAGATCGTATGCAACAGACGTGACGGTTATGTCATCGTCTTCGCAGAAAACCTTGGCGCCATGAAGGAAAGTTCTGGGCTGACAGTATCCGTCCTCCTGGAACATGTTCTCGATATCGGCTTGGTCGCAATTGCCTGCTCCAAATACGACACCCTGCGTCGCCCCGCACTCAGTCAGCATGTTGCTAGAGATAAAAGTCAGCTCGCAGTCTCGTCCAGGCACCCTGGCGATTGGGATGGATAAGGACGAACTTGACGATCAGGCAGCTCTGTACGGTACCAACACCAACTTGGCCGTCTGAACAGCCTGCGCCCATGATCGAACGAACAAAGAGCACAAGGGCCCCGGTAGCGGCGAGCTTCATGCTGTTTGCCTCGCGTCTGGTTATCGACTATTTCCCAAAGAACGATGTGCTCGTACAGGATTGAAAGTCTCGAAAGCGAATTCAGATGTATGGATAGTATGAAGGTTAAAGTTCTTGAGAAGTGAGAAGGTAGTTTGCAAGACCCACCGCGTCAACTGTCGCCTGATATATGATCCTCTGGAATTTCATACGGCCGTATGGCTTCGGAGTAGTGATCATGTTGGGCCAGTCGGTGAACGAGGTCGTGCAGGAGAGACATTCATGGATGCCACAGTGGCCACATGGGCATCATCCAGCCGGATAATCCAGGTTTCCGGGCAATCTTCGCCCACCGCTCGAAGCGTATATTGCTCCACGAGCGGCGCCCGAGCATCATGCAATTGCGAGCTGACGAGAGAGGGTATAGACAAGCTGGTTCGCCAACATGCTTAGCCGCCTAGCGAGATGCTTGAACAATACGCCCTGTCAGATCGGCTGACTCTAAGATGTGGATATAACCCAATAAATAAGCCCTCACTCGGATGACTAGCCAACCACCTCTGTCGCATCATGGCACCTCTGCCTAGCGCCTTGACTTGTCAGAATCTTCATCAAAACTGCCCGGCCGTGATTTCATTGCTTATTAGGAACAGATCCAAAAAGGAACAATGGAGCACATCTGATACCGGCAGGCCTGTATACTCACCAAAAACTTCGGAATGCATGTAAGAGGTCCTATCAGACATCCTGATGCTGTCAGATCTGGATGCCGTTACCCTCGCCTAATACCTCTCACCGATAGCTCTGGAGTAGACAAAGGAGGCCCGATCAGAGGGCCTGACATCGCTGGATCTAATTACCATCCCTTCTGTCCCATGTCTCTCGTCGGTTGCTCCGGAGTGAATATAAGAGAAGTCTAAGCAGACATCCCGATGCCACCGGAGTTGAGCACTGGGAGTAGCTACAATTCGTGTCGCATTACGACAAAAAGCCCAAAGTACTATTGAGAATATTTTCAGGTGGACGTATACATCAACTTTACAACTACTTAGTTGTTAACTTTCACGAGTCTGTATGCAGCAAACGCGAGACAAATCCTAGCTACCCATGGTGAGTGCCATCGCTTCTACCTCCTGCCTCTTACCGAAACCACAGATTGGATACCATCAACAAGCGCACTCCAATCACACCTCACCAACGTCACATCCTCCTTCTACCGTCTTCAGTGTCTCACCTCCGCACTTCTCGCTTTTAGTGCACAGCCTCCGCAGCCTTCGTCTGTCTGGCAGGCCTGCAGCCACTCACTACCACAGTCTCTTATTGCTGCAGCGTTCGTCTCTTTTTCCTTACATTACTACGTTTGTGGCAACCGTGCTGCGCGCATTTGCAATTTGTGATATCTTATGGAGACAAGCTCTTTCGAGTCACACCTATTAAACCACTCTGGCACAGTGTCTTGTCTTTTGTTAATGAATGTAAGTCTATTGTTTTAACTTATAACATTATTTATTTGTGGCGCGGCTACTGCCAGCCTCAAACTTGCTAACACAAGTGGCGAGGCTAGCGCGGGAACATTTACAAAGTCTCGAATTGTACCGCGTGTACGTTCTATCGCGACTGCATTATACTACTCACTGACTAAATGCTGAGGTAAATGGTTAGGCCACGACAACAACGCTCCTTCCTCGTGCCTCACGGTTCTGACCAACTGGACCTCGGGATGCTGAGGTAAATGGTTGGGCTCGATGACGGCGCTCCTTCCTCATGCCTCATGGGTCTGACCAACCAAGCCTCACCAAGCTCCCACTTATCAAAGAGAGCGTCTCACTTCCTGTCAACGCCCCCGCTCCCTCGCTCCCTCGAGCACACGTCCGACAGTGAAGCATCACCAAGCTCTCATTTCCCATTGACGCCCCCGCTCCATCGCTCTCTCGATCACACGTCCAACAATGGCACCAAAGAAGAAGCTTGCTCAAACACCCGCTCAAACACCTGCCCAAACACCCGCTCGGACACCTGCTCGGACATCTGCTCGGACACCTGCTCGAACACCGCGTCAGCAGAGCAACACATTGACGCCTACCGAAGTTTACGACGAGGAAGAGAACGACTTTAGCATCAACGTCTATGCCAGTCTTATAGAAGACGACATCACCGCAGGCATAGAAGAGAAGCATGTGCCTAGTATACTCAAGGGGTGTGCCGTTAGCGACAACGATCTACTTGATGACCTGAGCCCTACCGACATCGAGGCGCTCGTCCAGCGGCTTCTCCCTGGCATTTGCCAGCAAGGTAAGCTACACGTACTCGTACAAGATGTGATGTACTCCGGCATACTGACTTTATGCTTGCAGATGTCCAAGACTTCTTAGCCCAGATTACTACACACAATTCGCCGCCCTTTACCATACCACGCCACCAGCGCGAGCCTAAGAGTTGGCCCTCGACGTACGAAGAGTCGGACCTGTTGTGGGAAGAGGGAGCCAAGGCTGAGCGAGCAATCAAGCTGCCTGTCGGAACCAATATGCCGAAGTGGTTGGACATGTCAGAGGATCAGCTAGGTAAGTTTTCTTTGGTACTTGGGATCTAAAAGGCGGCTGAACTAACTGTGCCCTTGCAGTCAAGTACACAGGGAGCATCCAAGACAGCCTGGTCGTAGTGTTATCCTATCCGACAGCGAAAGATGGCAGTACGGTACACGCCTCCTACGGCACGACGATGGACCTATCCAATCAGTGTATGAATATGCTTTATTCAAAGTTGGGGCTGCACCTCAAGTCCGTCCGACCGACCGGCGCCCTCCATGCGACGTATTCCCGCGTCGCATCAACCGAGACAACATCGACGGGCTAGGCAACGTTGTCGACGAGATCCCCACCAACCTGAGATTGTTCTGGCAGTGTGTCGCCCAGGAATGGCTGGCAAGATCGCAGGCAAAGATCGCCCTACTTGTCGGAGCAGCTGCGGTCAACACCTATCTGTCATATCTAGACGCGGACCATGTTCAACACCAACAAATATGGTTTGCTGGTGGCAACAATGTAAGCTATAACTGTATGAACTGCACATGAGACACATACTGACTTCGTACTTCTACAGGAGTACCAATCAAGCAAGAAGCCACCGTGTTGGATCGAATACAACAAGGACAACAATATCAAACGCATCGCGTTCTCAGTTCCGCACCCTGAGTATTTCAACCGTATCCGCGGCAGGGTAGTCACCCACAAATATGAGAGCCAATGCGCTTAAAGAGCGTTTCATTGATTACGCGATGGTGAAGGTCTGGGGAACGGCACACCTGCAAGGTTTTCTTAGCTCAGCGAAATACCTTTTCCAGATCGCCAATGGGCTGATAGTGCGAGTTCAAGAAATCGAGGAGTACGGCGCAGACAACAACGCACTTCGCAAGATTCTGAGTATCCCGACGTTAAACAACTCTACCATTGATAACTTCATGTCCCGCAGCAAAAGCATGAACGAAGAACAGATCAAGAGTATCAAGAAGATGAGAAACGAAGTCAATATCAAGGTGGCGGAATCTCACTTATGGTGGGACCGAGCGGACGTCATTTCGAAATACGGTCCTCACGCATTCACATTCAAGTTGATGGCGAAGCGCTACCAAGACAGCAAGAAGAAGTCAAGGGCCAAGACCAATGACAAGTTTGCTAGTCTACCAGAAGACGACAAGAAAGCATTAGTAGAGTCGAACAAACAGAAAGCCTGCGCACGAGAGAAGAAGAGGCGAGCAGCTGAAATGGAGGGTGAGGACAAGGAGAACGCCAAAGACGAGTTGTAAGTAGTAGTTGTGCAACAGGTGTCATAATCAGAATGTCTGATTGGGCCTCTCATGCATCCCGAATATGTTGGTAAGAGGCACATCAGCGTCAGAATACCTACTTTGCAAATTGTTATCTTAATGTAGGCTGCAGACCTGTTTGGGTTCTCATTGTATCAGGGGCGATGGTCAAGATAGCAGGCATGAGTAGAGCGAGAGCCGAAGCAAAGGAAAGGTCAAGCGATCGATGGAGCGATATATCGAGGGAGTGAACCAGGCGCTTCTTGATAGCGGTGCCACGCATCTCGTTACCCAGACAGCGATAACTGATCCTCTGATTCGGTCGAAGTACTGGGGATGCGCGACGGAGAAAGAGACGCGCGTCATATGGTCTCTCTGCTCTATTGTTGTACATTCAATCCACCTCGTGGGCACCTCCGCTTGATAGTACTCGGAGGTGTGCGGTGATATAGCCTTGTAGGGTAGGTGGTGCTCCTCTTCCTAGGTAGATGCTTTATATAGACATCGACCCCTGCGTGCCTGATAGTAAGACCGAACTTAGCCCTCGTCACCTATTACCAGGTTACGATCAAGTCGTCTTAGTATGACGTCAAGACGTATTGACCTATGTTACGGAGAGTGAGCGTGGTGCTGTACTCGTGACGAACAGTGTTGATCGGGGGAGCAGTGTGGTGTGAGGAAACGATCAGTAGGTTATCCTTGTCGCTTACTGCAAACTCGACGGGCGTTTTCACCGGCATGTCGAGCCTGGAGGGCATTTCGATACCAGCGAGGAGCTCAACAACCTGTTCCCCTTGCACAGCCAAATCCCAAAGTCTGTCTATTTCATCATCGAAAGAAGGCTATGTCGTTAGCTGCCTGTCCTGGGATGAAATGAGGAAGAGCAAACAAAGCTCTGCGTATGAACAAATCTCGACTTGGAAGCTTTCCTGACCAGGCAACACTGGCTGTATTCACTCTCACTGAATGATAGCTCACCAAACAATACTTTATCTGTAATAGACCATCAATAGATGATGCCGTCATTGGGACCTTCATCGCTGGGTTAGCTATCGTCACTGCCGTCGGTGACTACAACGAGGCTTTCCTGCTCCAACCCTCAGCCACAACAAGCCTTGGAGCATACAGTGTAGTCTGCCACACTATTCCATCATCGTCAGCCCCAGCGAACACCTCCAGGGTACACCTTCAGGCCTAGCTTCGACCCAGCGAAATTTCTGGTAGCGAACAATACCAAACATCTAGAAAGCTCGGATTCGCGTTTCCAATTCCCAAAATGCCTACCACATAACGCCGCGCCTTGAGTTTTGTTTCAGACCCCAGGACACATCAAAGCAGTGAAGGAAAAAGAAAACCCACCGAACCCTCACCTCGGCTTTACAAGAGAGCCACAATATGCACGAGAGAGTCAGTATCAACCGCAACGGCATCAACGGCATAACGAACCCTCACTCTCAGCCCACAAACGCCCAGATGCCATGGCCTTCGCACATGCTCTCCAAATGCCGAAGCCCTTCATTTCCCAGAACATGTAACAAACGCACCGACGCACATAATCCCCGTTGCAAGGCCAAAGCAAGTGCGAGAACAAAAAAGCACGCATGTCAAAACATCAAGACAAACCGACCCTTCTTTCCCTCTCTGGTCGGGAAATTTGTCGATACCCTCGGGGAGATCACGGGTCCGCACTCTTCAGCCTCACGGCGACAGCGAAAGGGAAACGAGCAAGGACGGAGGAGGGGTGGTGAAACAAGAAGGGAGGCCGAAATCGCCGAAGTCTTTCCCCACCTTTTGCCGTACCCAGCCACTTGGACTACGGGCACCTCGGAGTCGGCTCTTTCACGAGGCAATTTCACGCATCAAAGTGCGGAGAAAAAAGGCGGTCAAGTTCGTCTGGGTCACTTTGGTTTCAATCTTGCCTTGGGTAACATTGCGCTGCGTTGTAGGTGCGTTTCAATCCCAATTCGCGTGACCTCGAGCCTTTCTCGAAAAGGGTGGTGATTAACTGGGTGATCGACGCAAAAGTATGGGGAGGGGGAGGGAGATGTATGTTCATTGGTGGTAGTTGTACAGCGCTTTAATGGTGATGTGCAAGGCTGAGGCTGAAAATGTTGGGCTAGTGTGGCTAGGGGAGGCTGGGGCATCGCGAGGGCTCGCGTGACACACACCCATGTGCAATAACTGGTGCACGGAGCTTGAATAGCGTGGTATCTTGATGGCGTTGGTTGTGTGGCTGTGGGGATAATGCTCGTAATGGCGGTTAGTCACCAAGTTTGTAGGAGTAGTTGCAAGTCTGCTTTGAGTGTCACAGTAGACATATCATGTAATGTGACTGATTTTGATTGGCGGAGGTGGTAGATAGAGTAGCTAGAAAATGGGGGGTGCTTGTTGGCAGGGTGGCTACATGGCGACAGGCAAGAGGAGCACACATGGGGATAGGGAGCGGCAGGACAGGAACTAATGCCCTCAGGTAAAGGAATGGCTTGGACGAAATTACCGTCCGTATACAAAGAACAAAGACAAGAGAGCGACCGTGGTGCTCTTGTGCGCCGGATGGAGTTATAAGTGACCCATTCAATTGCCCGGTATCTAACACCCCACAAACGCCCAGTTGAGGAAACAAGAAAAGGTTGGATATAACACAAGAGAGGTGAAAAGATTCTTCGGTGCAGCCGCCACAAATCTTTCTTTATCCTCGTCAAATGCTGGTCTGCACAACGGTATGGTGGTTCCGTCGTGTACTGAATAGTAACGGGCTAAATCGCAAGATGATTCTTACTCTCGTCGTCAAAGCGTGATTGCGCGCACCGTGGTGCGAGACATGGTAGTGAAGGAGATTAGGTATTTGCGTAGTCAGGGTATGGAGGTGTTCGTCAGCGACGCCAGTCGTGAGAAAGGGTCGACGTGAAGAGCGCACGTGTTGCGCCAATTGCCCTGTTTGAGGCACTTATACGTTGGTAACCTAGTAGAGTGTCAGTGAGTGGCGTTTCGTCGGGCGGCATCGTCGATCGCATACCTTCAATATCCGCCTCGAGTAGTCCTCGTTGTCTGCAATGCTGCCGTTGCTCTGCCTCCGGTCGACGAAGCTCGGGTCCAGACGCGAGTCGTTCATGGACGAGTTGCTGGTGTGTAGCTTGCCGCCGTTGACGAATGCATTTACGTTGGCGGCATTGCGACGGTAGTCTTCTTCTGCTTGGTGCTGACGTCTCCGGCGGAGCAAGAACCATACACCGAACATGATCGAGGCAAGGGCTAGTATGCCGACGACTACGCCCACTGCGATGGCGATTGTGTTTGGTTTGCTGTCTTCTTCGGGCGCCGCAGATGGAGTGGCCGAAGCCTGGGCGGCACCGGTTGATGTCGGAGCAGCGGACGACGGCTTTGGTGCTACTGAGCTGCTGCTCTCTACTTCGGGCTCGTAAAAGTCGACAGGGTTCCTAGTTGTTCCGGTGAGAACGACCCATAATTTGTCCTTTCCACCACCTAAGCGCTGTCAGTCGGGAGCGAAATAAGGGAAGGTTGTCAGCTTACAGGTCCATGTCTTGTCGCCGCTACACGTGGTGCCACATGTCTCGTTCTTGATCTGCCACTCTTTGGCGGGAATCTCGTCACCACACCAGCATTCCTCGCCGTTCGACAGACCCATAACGGGCTTGTTTTGCTCAATGCAAACGAGTTGACAGTTACCAGGCGACTGGAAGTTGAAAGAGCCGTGGTTCTCGAGTGGGATTCCGGTCTCGAAGCAACCGATGCTCACCATGGCACTTGCTCCTAGGGTCTTTGTTGGTGTGGTGATAGGGTCCGTGACGGTCGCCCATGTTGGCGTCGGCTTCTCTTCCGCGGCGGCCATCATGACCATCGAGGCCGCGGCCAGGGCGGAGGCGAGTCTGATGTAGACCATTGTGGTGATGTGCTTGGTTAGTTAGTGGTGCGCGTCGGTCGGCGGTGACAGCGTGTCGCACGGAGGGCTATATGCAGAGGCGTCGACACATGCAAGGCCCTGTGGGCGTGGATAGGTCGGGCGGTCCGAGTCGGCGGCGGTGGTGATGGTGGTGAGAGAGCGAGCTGTTGGGGTTCGGCGTGGAGGTAAGGCTGAGTGGATATGGGGATGGCGGCGGAGATGGAGTCGTCAACAGGCGCGATGGACTGGGACTGGAGGCTCGATCAACGATGCCCAGGGCCGTCTGGTGGTGTTGAAACGGGGGGCGTCGTGGCAGAAGTCGAGGCGATGAAACTTGTCGGCTGCCCCTTGGAGAGAACCCCCGTAGAGTGACGCAAAAGGAATGAATCGACGGGAGATGGGTTCTGGGTAAAGAGAGTGTAGTGATGCGATAAAACGATTGTGGGTGTCGACGATTGACAACGTGAAGCAGACAAACGAGAGGAGGCTCGGGCCCTGAGAGTGGATCGCAGTGAAGAGAGGACAGGAGAGTGCGCCCCAGTTAGGACAGGCAGGCATGCAGCCAGGAGCAGGAGCCAGCCTTGGCAATTAGCCTGTGCCTGCGTCTGACTACCGCCATCTTTAGCCCACCCGCCCTGTAACTTTGGACAGCGCATGCCTCTAAATTGCAGCGCGTCCTCCAGCTCCCCTCGCATCTCCTGCGCCAAAGTCTATCCTCGCGGTATTCACTCCTGCCTTCACGGCATGCGTCCAGGGCCTCGTGTGCGCGACAGCCTGTCACGACGTCGGCCCAGCTGGGCAAGGCGCCGGCCCACTAGTGCCAGGAACAGCGCCGCCATTGGCCGCACGGCGTTTCATGCTTGCCGGGGGGCGGCAGGGGTGGTCGCAGGCTAACCCAGGACCGCGCGGTCAGGCACTAAAGCGACTCAAGCGCTCGGCCAGAGGGTGTCGCTGACGTTGCGATACTCAGGACGCGCACGATGCTTTTTTGCGATGGATGCCAGGTCGAGAACGTTCTCGCGCTCCACTACTGCGCTGTTGGGACTGCCTACCATCGTGGAAGGCGGGAGTGGGACGCGGCCACGGTCGAGTCGCGTCTCCCATGTGGAATCTCATTTAACTAACATCCGGAATCTGGAGCATGGAAGCCGTTGTCCGCTCTATCCGAAATGCGAACACCACAGTCTAGACATGCGCGGCCCGACACAATCGCGATGAAAGTTTAAAAATGTGAGGTGAGCATAGCGGAGGTTGCACGCACTCTGGCCCGAGAAAAAGCAACATGCACGACATCTGCATCGTGATTAAGCGGCCAGTATCTCAACAGTGACCGTTGTGCCTCTCCATACAGCGCCACATACACAGAACCTCCAACGGCTGAGTTAGACACATGTCAAAATGCTTGGGTGACCTGAGACACGAGCGGGACGCAGCCGCATCGTGCAAGCTCGTCCTAAGATTCATGCTCGTGTCAAGATTCCCCAGGTTTGTAGCAAGTCGCGCCAAGTCGCCGCCGGACTGCAGTGCTACCGGATTCCAAGGCCCCTCCGATTTCGTGATGATGCGCTTAGTCACCCACGTCACGTGCATCTCCCACTTCCCGATCGGGACGCGTGCTCAGCATCGAACCAAGCTTCACCAGGGCCTCCGATGACCAGCCACGCTTAATGCGCCGTCCGCCCGTTGCCTGTCGCCGAGCAGTGCAATCGCTCCAGTCTTCCTCCTCCCAGCACATATGGATCTCTGACGACCTCCTCACCGGCGCCCTCAATCGATTTTTCCCCAGTTCGTGCCCGCAACAGAAGCGCCATGGCAGCCACGTCCCGGGGCCATTGGAGGCCAGGAGGAGGGCAGCAAAGCGCCGCATGACTGTCTCAGCGGGCTTCTACCCTCAGGGAAACTTTGCGCCACTGTTCAATCTCGGTGCGCTTTTTGGCTTCCGCAAAGATGATCCGCCCACTTGGAGATACGAAGCACCATCTTTACAAACCCATGCAGAGCCATTGACTTCGCGTACGTTGCGCAGCGCATTCTCCACATACACTCAGCTAATATCGACAGCAGCTCAGCATGTTCCAAGTTTGCCAATAACGCAACCCGACCGTACATCCACGGAGCACGCAGCTTCGACGACTACCGCTTCTGCATTCGGTGCCCCATACCCTTTCTCGCAGAACACTTCGCAAGATAAACCGCAGAAACATCTGAGCAGACCAGGGGAATGCACAGTCGATGCGCTGGATCCTGAGGCGCATTTTGACGACTTCAAGACAAAGATCGCAAACGCTGGAACTATGTCCAGTACCGAACGCGGCCGATTACTACATCAGAGCTGGATATCATGTCGCCCAGCCACCAATATCGATTGGGTCTACAACGTCATGGTAGTCAAGCATCTGACCGAAAACCGCTGGGATCACACGCGCATCCTTTCCGGCCTTAAGTTTTTCAATCTACCTCCCACGTACACACCCGAGAGTCTCGACCTCCTCAAGTGTCTGGAAACGTCTGGCGCGTATCTACCGCATGCCTCCCGTGTCCACCGCCGCGTATATTCCAAGATGATAGAAGCCGCTACATCAGCTGCAGATTCAACAAGCTCATTACAGGATACCCAACTACTCACACTGATCCGGTCAGCCCTTCGCAGCTGTTCCTACGTTACTGAAGCCGGCCAAAGTGCTGTAGGCGATCTTTGCTTACTTGCGGACAAGATCGAGGCTTCGAACTTGCGAAACGCGATACGTTCTCTGCTGGCCGATTTCGACAACGCAGAACAAGTCATCGTGTCGATGATTGCACGCGCTTCTCACAATTATCTCCACGCTGTCGAGGAAATACTTTTCTTCCTGCCTGAAGAACGACTCCAGTCGCTAGTTTCATCGGTGACTCTGTCCCTCATACAAGGCGTCAGGAAGACACGATTGTCGGCTGAGACGTACTGGCACCGTGCGCGTGCGTGGATGACAGTCCTTGGAAACCTTGACGCCCGATTCGATGCAACCCGTTCCAATAGCACCTACACACAAATCGCCTTCACCGAGGTGGCTGCGGATGTATTCAAGAGCGAACGTACGGGTACTAAGCGGCCACTTCTATTACTCTATGCTCTCGCGTTCCGTACGGCACAGCAGCCAGGCTATGGTGTGTACAAGGACAGTTGGTTACAGTGCGTACACGCCTACGCGGCCTCTGCACTGGAGCAGCAAGGCATACTGAGAATGGAAGACGAAGTGATAAAGGTCTTTAAGCGCATGCGGAAGGCTTCCATTCAATATGGGCCGATGATGAGTATGGCTGTCCATACGTTCACATCCCACGCCAGCCTTCGGTCTCTGCGCCGATTTCAATACCTTGTACAAAAGTATCGATTTCCACTACATAACATAGAGGCCATACAAACCCGTCTCGCCGCTGAGTTGCCCACTCTCCGACAGCAACCAAACCTGCAGACAGTCCAGGAGCGCGAACAGCACGCCTCCACATTACGTGCATGCCAATACATCTCCGATTCTCTTAACAAATTCGCCGGACCAGCGATCTCGACTACGCTTGTCAGCGATCAAGAAGAGATGGAAACTCTACAGGCCCGTCGGGAATTTGTCGCAATTCTGGACCGCGCCTCGGACTACCATGCGCTGCCGCCAGCCTACGCCAACCTCACTGCTGACATACCGTTCTCTCAGCGCACGGCGCTTGTCCATCAATTAGCTCATCATTACTCTATCGCTACTACCCGTTCACATAACGCAACCATGCGCTCCATCTACCAACTATACAACTATCTTGAGTCGCATTCCCTGCCAATTGGTCCTCTGTTTACCAAAGCTGTAGTCCGAGCTGCTATTATCCGGCCCATGATGGAGCACAGGTTCGTCAGTGCAAGGAGATTGATTTGGGTGTGCCATGTCGTTGCCAGGGTTGAAGGTGAAAAAGTAGCAAGGCAGATTGAAGGTGCTTTTCATCGCTGGAGAGGTGACCTGATCAAGCATGCTAAGGAGGTTCATGATGCTGCTGGTGGTGATCGGGGTGCGAAGGCCAATGTGGGAAGGTTAAAACAGTTGAATCTATTGGGATCCAAAGAGGATTAGAACCTGTTGTGGAATAAAAGCCTAGTTGATTACATATACCCCGTAGAAAGCACGTTGTTACAGACGACGGAGATGCGCTTGGTGCTTCTGGCGGCATCCAACGCGAAACTACACAGTTATGTCCTGTGCACTTGGATTTGACGAAGATCAGACTTCGGCTTAGATAATGAAAGTAGCCATTTAGTTAGTGTAGGAAGCACATCGTTGGAGGTTGGCTGCTGATGCTCACGAGATCAAAACCTTGGAAATATGCCCCACTTCGTCATGACTTTCATTGGGCCACTATTCTCCCCTCCTCCCATCCTTCATTGTCGCGCTGATCAACGCTGAGTACGACAACATCCTATGCAGATATCATGCGATGCGCTGAGTACTAATCTTTGAAGTCAGAGGTTTCGTATTTCCGCTTGCACCGACGTCATCTGACTGGCCTTGGAACACATCCTCACGAACAACGCATTCGACTTGGATCATGCCTGTAATGCGCAAAAGCACGAAGACATCAACTTTCGGGACTTCTTTCTGGTGATATTATATTGATCGTCATCGGATTGTCGTCATCGCTCGATACATAGCAGTCTTTCCCCCACGCAAACGCGACATCAACTGCATCAGAGTGCCCAATTTACAGCATTTAGACAGCGACTCTCACAGTTGAAGCGATCGGCTAGCGCCCTGTGTCGATATGAACCGAACTATATCCCCACCTAGGCCTACTATTGAACAACTACGACATGTCGTCAACAACTACCCCATCATCGACAATCACGCCCACAACCTCATCTTACCTCACCAAGCCGATACAATTCCCTTTGAAACCATAACCACGGAAGCTCAAGGAAGAGCTTTGCGAGACACCTTCAAATCACTGCCCCATTTACGAGCCGCCAAACAGCTACGCCGACTTTACGAATGTGGTGAGGACGCGGACTGGGAGGACATTCTGGAACAGAGGGTTGAGTGGATCCGGAGCAACTCCGAACGATTGCATCAACGATGCTTCGAAAATGTGCACGCACTCCTCATCGATGATGGACTCGCTGGGCCGGAGAAAGTCTTCCCTTACGACGACCATGATCGTTGGACCCAGGCACCCAGTAAGCGCATTGTGCGCATCGAGACGGTCGCTGAGCGCTTGATGGAGAATCTTGTACGAGATGCATCAGAAGACGATCTGGGAAAGACCAAGTTTCTACCGCAGGTCTGGACGAATTTTACTGAAGACTTCGAGCGCGAGATTCAAGACGCGGTTGAAGATGACAACGTTGCTGGATTCAAATCTGTCATCTGTTACCGAACGGGTCTTGATATCGAACCGGAGTATGAAGAAGCTGCGAAGACAGTTGGACACCCTTTCGAGCGCTACGTCAAGAGTTGCATTCGCAAACGCAACTACCGTATCGAAAAGAAGCACCTGAACGACTATCTTGTGTTGCGCACACTGGAGATCCTGTCCGAGCAGTTGCCACATGGTGATTCTCTTGCGAAGCCATTTCAGCTACATACTGGCCTGGGAGACAATGATATTAGCCTCCTTGAGTCAAACCCAGCCTTCCTGCAGCCATTGATCGAGAACTACCCCCAGGTGCCGTTCGTACTCCTTCATTCAGCGTATCCATATACGCGCGAAGCGGGCTACCTCGCAACCGTATATCGACATGTGTACCTGGACATCGGCGAGGTCTTTCCAATGGTCAGTAGAGATGGTCAGACCGCGATCTTGCGTCAAGCCATGGAGCTTGTCCCTGGCAGCAAGCTGTTATATTCATCTGATGGCCATTGGTTCCCTGAGACATTTTGGCTTGCCAATCTGCAGTTTCGCGAAGTTTGGTTCCAGGTGAGTTCGCTGGGATGACGAAACGCCTATTCCTGTAGGCTAACAATTGCAGCTACTCAGCGAGTATATCCAAAAAGGCGACATAACCCCACACCAAGCTATTGGCATGACGAAAGATATCATGTTCAACAACTCCAACGTACTGTATGATCTGCGCTACGAGGCTATATTCGATGAGACAGTACAAGCGGATCCAAAACAACTTACCTACAACCCAAAGCCTGCTGCGGCTTCACCTTATCAGTCTCCAGCAGTGACACCAGCCCCTGCTATGAGTATCCCCAACCGATTCTCAGCTTCCAACACACCAGCCAGTCGGTCAGTCTCTCCGTACACGCAGCCGGCGTTCCCTCCACCGCCAAAGGTGCCGCACGTATACGACGTTCAGCTGTTCGAAGACTTTAGAGAAAGAAACCCTGCAGTAAAGTTCATCTACGTGCAATGGCTTGATTACATGGCTACGATCCGTAGTCGTATTGTTCCCGTCAAGGAATTTACACGCATGATAATCGAAGGAGAACGCATTGGCATATCACAGGGAAACATGGGAACTCTTCAGAACGATCGCCTTACCCCAGTTGTAAACACCACGGGCCAAGTCTACGTCGAACCCGATCTACGTTCCCTCCGTGTAACCCACAACAAAGACCCCCTTCCCGCTGCAACAGTACTCAGCTACTGGCGCACAGAAGACGGATCTGCCCTTCCAGAAGACCCACGAAACAACCTGGAAACGCTAATCAACGATCTCCAATACAACTACGCGACATCCCTTCTCATCGGCTTCGAAATAGAAGTCACATTCCTCTCGCGAAACCCCCCTTCCACTTCCACCAACCCTTTCCAAACTGAGCCCTACTCACCCTTGACCAAGACCCATGCGTGGGGAACCCTTACACCGGAACAATGGCTGCAACTCCCCTTCCTCAGCGAAATCGTCCTTGCACTCGAGGAAATGGGCATCGAAGTGCAACAATTCCATGCTGAATCCGGACCGGGACAGTACGAATTCGTACTTCCGCCTCATCCTCCTCTACTCGCTATCGACACGCTTATCCAGGCCAGACAGGTCATTGCTCAGATAGCTAGTCTGCATGGACTGCGCGCCACGTTGCACCCTAAGCCTTTCGAGGGTATGGGCACGGCTGCCCACGCGCATGTTAGTTTGCATCCGCCAGAGAGGGACATGCAGTTCTTCGTCGGAGGCGTGTTGAAGCATCTCCCTGCTATTTGTGCGTTCACCATGCCGGAAGAAGTTAGCTATGGACGTGTAGCAGACAACTCTTGGACAGGCGGATCATGGGTAAATCACATTTTATCACTCTCAAAACTACATACACACATACTAATATGCGTACACAGGTAGCATGGGGCACCCAAAACCGCGAAACACCACTCCGGCGCATCTCCCCCGGCCGCTGGGAACTCCGCTGTATCGACGGTCTCGCAAACATGTACTTCGCTCTCTCTGCTGTTCTCGCCGCCGGCCTCCTCGGTCTCGCTGCAAACGACCTTATCTTCCCGGAACAGGATATTCAGGCCAATCCTGCGACTATGGATGAGCAGATGCGCGCTGCGGTTGGTATGACGAAGAAAATGCCTAGGAGCATGAAGGAGGCTGTCGAGGCGCTGAGAGAGGATGGGCCGCTGAATGAGGCGTTGGACCAGAAGTTCGTGAGAGCGTATCTGGAGATGAAGCGTGAGGAGGCGAAGATGTTGGGGGAGATGGGGGAGATTGAGCGCAGGGCGTTTCTGGTGGAGAGATATTGATGGCTATTTCGTAGTTGACCACGTGTATAGGATATGCAATTAATGTTCTTTGCTTTATATGTTGTGGCGTCCTAGACAAGTTCAAAACGTTAGCCTCGGGCTTGAGCGGTGCGAGTAAATAGTCTATGTTAAAAGCAGTCCTGCCACGACATAAAGTCCTGTCACACACATTTTCGCTTCACTGTATATTGCCTGGGCAATCTATCAATGTAGTCGCCCGGGTGAAAAGCTGAACAAGTGAGTTTCGAAGAAGATTGACTAAGGATGTCTTGGAATGATTTAAGTTTTATGTTTGAGACAGAGTAAGATGACTATATGCTGCATTGCGTGTCGATGCTCAATTATTCACGTTGGCATTTCGGAGATGCAGATTCTTCGAACCTTGTGGAGGACTACCTCTCTGCTACCTCATAGATTACACAAAGTCGTCCTTATTGCACAACATCACATGTACCAACGAAGAACACATCATACTTTAGACAATTCAAGGTCTCATTTCATTGCGCACCATACATACAACAGTATAGCAAAACTATTAGAATTTCACCTAAGCCAAAGAAAACCACACTACTCTTCCAGGCGACGCGTCCAGGACGGTGCCGGTGAACCCAAGGGGAATAAGCGCAAACCCACGCAAACTATGCAGGATAAATACAAAGTTGACCGATATCTTACAACAGGATCATAGCCATGCCAGAGGCAACGGCAGCAACAACGTACAAACCCATGCCGAAGGCACCGTTGGTGAATTGGGGAGCGGACAGACCGGCGGCAGCACTGCCGGAGCCAGATGCGTCACCAGAGCTGGAAGCACCGGTAGCCTTGGCAGCAGCGCCCTTGACAGAGCCAGTGCCGTCAACACCAGCGTCCTTGAGAAGGGAAGAGCAGCCGGAAGCGGTGGGGCTGGCAACAGCCTTCTTGGAAGTAGCCTGACCCTTGAAGTCGCAGCCATCGCTGACCTTCTTAGCGTAGGCGTTGAGAGCGAAAGAGAGCTGCTCGCGGCTGGAGCACATGCCGTAGACACCGTAGGGGCCGGCAGTGGCGTTCTTGTTGATACCCTGGCAGTACTCGCCGTCCTTCTCACCGCAGATGAAGCCGAACATCTTGCCGAAGTCGTCCTCCTCGGTGTCATCGGCGACTTGGCAGCTGAGAGTCTCCATCATGCACGAGCAGAGGTTGGCGTTGGCGACCGGTGGGAGGGGGTCAGACTCGGCCTCCCACTTGCCAGAAGTGACCTTGGGGCACGAGGCAGCGGCGGTGTTGCTGGGCTTGTACTCGGACATCTTGACACCGACGGGGGTGGCCTTGGCGATCTGCTTGGACAGGTTGTCAAAGTCGTCGTTGGTCTCGACCTTGCCGCCCTTGATGGAAGCGAGACCTGGGAAATGTTAGAGGCGATTCCAAGGATCGAAATATGGGAAACTTACCGAACTTGTTCTCCTCCTCGAAGTACATGTAGACGATACCTCCAGACCAGACACCAGTCATTTGCTTGCCGTAGAGAGCACCGACCTCAGTGAACTTGCGGGGGCGAGGAGTGTTGCAACCGTACTCGGCGAAGAAGACGGGAACGTTGTACTTCTCAAAGTTCTTGGTCTGGACATCGAAACCGGACTCGGTGAAGGAGGAGTCACCGCACCACGAGTAGATGTTGTAACCCCAGAAGTCAATAGCACTGTCGGCGTCGCCGCAGTCGAAGTAGTTGGCCATGTTCTCACGGATGTCGGCATCGTCGTTGGTGGCGTATCCGACACCAATCTCACGGTAGTTCTTGCTCTTGATGTAGGCCTTGGTGTCACGGACAGCTGCCTTGACGAACGCGCTTGCAACGGTGTTGTTGGGCTGGTTGCTGACCTCGTTTCCGGCGAAGAAACCGAGAGTGTTGTCGTACTTCATCATCTCGTCAACGACGCTGGTGTAGCGCTCGTATAGCTCGACAGTCCAGCCGGGGTCGTCACGGTTGATCGACAGTCCTGGCTCAGACAGATCGGCTACAACGTAGATGCCCGCATCGGCAAGCTGGGTCATGCAGTCCTCATGGTCCTTCTTGGGATCAATGGCGTACACACGGATAGTGTTGGTCTGGAGCTTCTTGAGCTGCTCAATGTCACGCTTGCATGCTGACGAGTCGGCAAGAGGGTCGGTGATGTCAAGGTCGTCGGTCGAGGCAGCTGTGGAGTTGGAGTCGATTTCTTGCTGGTATGCGACACCCTTCATGAAACTGAGCGATTGTTAGCTTGGCTTTGCTTGACTTTTCTTGAGTTCTTGGGTCTCTTACAATTGTTCACCACTGTTCTTTTGGAAAAACTTCTGGCCCTAGGCATTGTTAGACACGCCAGTCGCACCTGTCGCACGACATCATACCTTGATGACAATGGGGTCAACGGCGGCTTGAACGCCCGCGAGTAGGGCCGCAGTAGCGAAGACTCCGCGCATCTTGGTAGTAATAGTATAAGACGAGTTCCAAGAGTAGTGGTGGTGTTGGCGAGAGCTTGGGTTGAATCGCCGAGAGTTGTGTTTAAAGGGTGTAGAGAATGTGTTTAGGAAGGAACAATGAGATGAAGGAGTGTGGCGCAACAGCGAATGAGGCTGTATGCGAAAAATGAATTATTCAAGGACGTAAAGACGGACTGGTAAAACAGAAAAGTGAGTGTAGAAACGACTCTGAGGCACAACGAGTGAAGAAATGTAGGGTCAATCAAGCATTCCAAGAGGGATCAGCGAGGGTTCACCTGTGCCCCTGATACTAGGCTTGTTTCGCATTCATGGCCCGAGCGCCTTCGAGACCATCATCTATTCTTCTATTGCACCAACACCGCAGGTAATGTGAATGTTGGATGTTGGAGACTACACGTCCAGCTTCGCGGTATGGTAGTCAGCTTCTTTCAGCAAAATGTTACTGATGTTATTGTCGCATTTTGAGACTGTCAGCGCGGCTCGTAGTCAAGAGTCGCGATCTCGACGCGTACGTACACCCAATTTCGCACCCCACTGAGAGCCGCCTGAGCCCCACTGCGGATCATGTTGCTAAATTGAATGGCGTCTCTGCAGATGTCACGGTATGTGTCCCGAGCAGTCCCGGTGCGCCGTGTTGGATTATACGAGAGAAGGCGGGAAGTCGAGACTGTGGATCTTGGGGATGGATGTCGGCGATTGCGATGGTCGTCGACGCTGGAGTGCACAGCCTCGTGCAGCCTCGTGAAGCCCCGGCGTGACCGCGGCACTTTAGGTTCGGAGGCACACGACACGCAGTTTGTGCAGCTGAAACCTAGTCGTTGGTGTGGCGAAGTCGCTCGCGCCGTGAGGCGGCCAATGGATCATGATGCGTTCACAGGCAGATGCCGCTGACGCTGGTGTTCGCACGTCTGCGACTCGGCTCCAGACAACCATTGGTCATCACAAGGGAGGGGCATGGCGAGGCTTCAGGCCGGGAGCTGGCATGCCCGAGAGCGTTTGAGAGTAATGCGTGCATACAAAGATAGCTGGTCAAGGAGTGTGCGCAATTATGAACTGATGAAGCGGTTACGGGCTAAGAGAAGTGCATGTAGAGAGTTTGCATACAGACGTAATCATGATCAGACTTGCTACACTGGTGTTGGAACGACTTAGACGCTCTGTAGCCGGCTCATTTGCCATAGTGTCGACGTTGGGAACCGGGCGGCCTAATATAGCTCACCAGCTGGGGCCCTGGTCGGTTGAATTGGGGTGCGGTGAGGGATTCCGTCATCATGCGATCGCTTTTGATTCATGCACGACTCAGGAGACTCAGGCGCAACGAGACAGCGGCTTTTGGGAGGGAAGTAAACATGCAGGCGGCAAAAGGACTGGGGCATGTTGAGGTGCGGTGTGTTCGGGTGTGATCAGGCTCAACAGAAGCACTAGCAGCGACTGGCGGCCGTCAGCCCCCTTTGGATTGCGACACCAAGCACCGTTGGCCTTTGATGAGCTAGGGCTAGGGCGTTGCGGAAGCGCGCCACGTCGCGATTGGCCGTCAGATAAGAAACTTATCGTCGCTATCGCGGCCGGTCGAGCAGCGGGCGAAGCAGGCGGGACTGCCTTGGTCTGCCGGGTCGCTAGTCGTGGTTTGATCAGCGCGGGCCTCGCGACCGTGCAGAGCAGTCTTTGTTGGCCCATGGCTGCGAGCAGTCGTGACGTGAGGGAGGGCGACAGCAGCGGGGGAGCAGAGGCAAAAAGCGGTACTGCAGTCTCGAGCTGTCAGCCGAGTCACCCAGAGCGCGCTGCGTCGGCGCCGGGTGACGGCAAGCAGGGCGGTGGTGTCGTCTTTGTTGTTGGTGTATTCGGGAACCGGTAGTATCGATATGCAAGCAGATCGGAGATTCCATGGTAGCTGGTTTCCTGGCCAGCGCCGTGCGGCCTCTGCCAGAGCAGCGCGCAGAGGGCGCGCAGCAGATCGGAGCACCGCTTGCTCGAGTGAGCGCAGCGGAGCAGCTTTGTAGTGTGCATACGTCCATGATCTCCGGTGCCTTTTTTAGAGGGGCGACTCAATATCGGGACGTGAATGCTAGCGAAGGGGACCCATGCGCAGCGTCTCTGACGGCGTTAGGCTAGCTTGGCGGTCGTGCCTTTCATTTTCAGGGGAAGCTGCTAAAAAGCTCTTTGCCTGCCCTTCCGCATTCCACACTGTCGCTCACTCACCACCTTCTTCTTCACGTGTCCGTTTTCTTCTACATTGCCTCTCGTTTCATTGCGTTGAGGTTGTGTAGCTTGGACGACCCGCCCCGACTGCTCCCTCACACGCCTTGAGGAGGAGAGCCGCTACCCGCCACTTCCAACCAGCCTAATTCCCACTTTCGCCCCAGCAGCAGACAAGCGCCGATTCGCCGCGCGTCTCTCCTGGCAACCACGACCGGCTGCATACTCAGCTTTCCACTCGCTACGCCCGACCACAACACCAGACTCTCTTGCACTGCAGCAGGCACGAGCAGCCCGCTGTGCCACTGAGACATTGCCGCCCCCGCGATAAACAGCGAGCCACTTCC